TCTTCCCAGTGTGACCACATTGAGTCATTATTTCCCCCTTCAGTATCGCTTGTCTGTTTAATTGTCCTGTTGAAGATGGAAGGCCAAGCATAGCTTTAAGTAGCATGTGCAGTAGGATTTTAGGCATCACAGGGATGAAGTGAAGCTCAATACAATGCAGAAAATGCAATTCATGTATTAGTATTCAGAGCATAATGGTACCAAGGTTATAGGAAGGAGTACTTAGATTCAGAAGCCAGAAGAGAATAACAAGTATGAAGCTCTGACTGAGAATAGATGGGAAGAGAATGCTGGAAGGGCTGTGATATGTTTGGATTTGCAGTGTGGCATAAGACTTGAGGCACTATTAGAAGCAAGTGGGGTCCTAAAGAGGAAAGACCTGGTAAGACATCACTGGGGACTAGCACTCAAAGGAGATTGTGGACCCTGGTTCTTTCTCTTTCCATTTGTTTGCTTGCTGGCCTAAGGTGAGTACTTTTGCTCTGTGATATGCTTTATCCAGAAAGTGCAGTATCATCAAAGGCCTAGACATAGCACAGCCAACCATTGTGGACTGGGCGCTTAAGAACCAAGAGCCAAAAAAGTAAGTCTCTTTTCTCCACAAGTTCATTACCTGAGGGATGTGTTATGGTAATAGAAAGCCAATCAACTCAGGCAATTTACTGGGCTTATGCATGAGAAAAGTGAAGTATAGACTCATGGGTCTAGTGAAATACTCAATCCTAGTTCTCGTGATTCAGTGAGGCTATGACAAGAATCCTAGTCTAGGTCATAGAAGTACATGAATACAGCCTTCCCCTTTGTGATGGTTTGTATATGCTCTGCCCAGTGAGTGGCAGTATTAGAAGGTGTGGCCTTGCTGGAGTAGGTGTGGCACTGTGTGGGGGGGGGGCTTTAAGACCCTCATCCTAGCTGCCTGAAGTCAATATTCTGATAGTACCCTTCAGATGAAGATGTAAAACTCTCAGCTGCGCCTGCACCATGCCTATCTGGATGCTGCCATGCCCCTGCCTTGATAATAATGGACTGAACCTCTGAAACTATAAGCCAGCCTCAATTAAATGTTGTCCTTATAAGACTTGCCTTGGTCATGATGTCTGTTCACAGCAGTAAAACCCTAACTAAGACACTCTTTTACAGATGGCAAAGTAGAGGTTCAATGTAGAAAAAAAAAAATGGCTTATCCAAAGACAAACTGACTTATGAGAGAAGAAGTGGCATCACGGATACAGTCTGACAGTAATTTTATTATTTTTATCTATTTACTTATTTGCTTACTTATATGGATGGAGGCAGGACAGAAAGCTGCTATGGAGCAAAAGTCAGAGGGAAACTTGCAGGAGTTCAATTTCTTCTTCTACTGTGTGTGTTCTGGTAACCTTCAATCATTGGGCTTGGTGGCAAGTGCATTTACCTACTGAGCTATCTGACCTAACAGTACTTTAAGCCTGCCAATTAAGTATATGTTTAGCTTCCATTATACTGTCATGAATGCATTCAAGACATTGTGACTGCAAAACTACTGTGTGCAAACACCCCAGGTGAAGTTCAGACTACTAAGAAAGCAAGCATGGCATCATTGAGAAGTAGGACATCAACCTATTTACAGAACAGAGGGAACCAAAGAGCATGAGCTGGCTGCAGGCCAAATAGGGAGAGGTGCAATGCTGGGGAGAAGCAATTGTCCCATCTAAACTAGAACTAAATGGAACCTTCGTGGTCTCAGCTTTACTGTTTTGACCATAAGATCCAGGAAACAAAGACCTGCATTTCAAATCTCTTCTACTTCTTAGTTTTCTGACCTGGGCAAGTTACTTAAACTCTCATGGCTTCGGATTCTGCTTCTATAAACAAAAGATAATAGCATCTGACTCCCAGGGTTGTTTTCATGAGACATTAGAGAGAAAGTGTTGATGATGTCCAGCAGCATCCCTGACCCAAGTTGCTTGGCACTGCTTCTGCAAAGCCAGGTAGGTCCAAAGACACTCATTTTCTGGAAAAGTCTCAATTATCTGTTATGCAGCAGGACTCTCCTAATTGGACTCTTGGTCTGTTTAGTTTTAATGATTTTTTTCCAAATTAAATAGAGAGCAAGAAGCTGGTTTAGATTATGGGGTCACAGCAAAAGAACAGAGAAAGTAGATATGACCCATTTTTAAGCTGCCACAGCATAATTGGGAATACATTCTTTGTCTTGGAAAAGAGCCAAAGCTGTAGGCTTTCTTTGCTCTATGGGTCACATTAACAAGAGCGCCACTTTGACAGTTGGACTCTGGCTCATTCCTGGAGCTTCACTTTCTCTGACCTTCCGGGGGTCCCTCACCAGGAGCCTTGTCTAACACACTTCCAAGAATTGTTGAAATTTCCATTTTATAAATTTGGCGCCAAACAAGATCAACATCAATGCCTTTATGACACTATTGATGCAATCCCTAAGGCCATCTGTTGGTAGGGGGAAAAGTTGAGACGAATCCTATAACAATTTGTGGTAGATTGTCTCCAAAGACAACCCATCATGCAAGAGGTACTAAGAGAAGAGATTTTCCAGCTGAATGAAGGTGATCTCAGGTAATAAATGAATTACATATACATACTACACACCACACATACAGAGAGAGAGAGAGAGAGAGAGAGAGAGAGAGAGAGAGAGAGAGAGAGA